ATATATAGCATGTTAAGCTCTTAAAGAAAAAACTAACTTAGCCAGTGACAACAGCAACAATAAAACTGTTCATCAATTATCAGTCTTCTTTGCATAGTCAGTTCTGAGTAATGGCTTTAATAGTTTTGTATTGATCTTATATGTCAGCTTTAGTTTTGCTGCCATTATTGGCATATCATAATAATCCACTGGCAGGAAAAAAGCATCATTTGATATCTTCTTTGTACTTTCCTCATAGTTAGGTGCTGGTAGAGAAGTGTTCATTCTGAAACATCTCACTTCACAAATGATCTCAGTTTAAAGGCAAAACTCTAATTTTTTGAGGTGTAAAATAAGCTGTTCTGAGATTTTTTGGAATAAATTTTAGACATATTTAGCATGCCGAACATTTGAAATATTTTAAGCATCTTTGTTAACTCATTAACTTGTGTTATATCATTTTAATATGAAAAAAATATTTCTGTTTAGTGTTTAGAAGGTAATAGTTGGCTTGTATGGCATTAAAAACATTTTGTATTCTTAGATACATCAAAATTTGACAGTGATGAAGAAGATTCAACACCAGTCTTTTCTTCATCTTTTATTCCAAAACAAACAGAGACACTTTCAAGTAAAACAGTTGTTACTAAAAAAGGCAAGTGTTTGAAATTTACTAGTTATATTTACTACTTTACTTGCTCTTCTAAATTCAATGTTCTTGATAATTATTATAAAAATATAAAAAATAATACTTTCATGTCTTAAGATGAGAACATGCTAAACATTGCTCTGATAAAACCTGTAGAAAACTCTGTCCTTCTGAAACACTGGTATGGTACAGAACACAATCTAGCACATAAAAGTCCATCTTTTTGTAATAGTTTTGAAAATACTGCCTGAAAAATAGATTTAAATTTGTTAAAAGTTTGTTCCCATTAGCAATAGAATAGAAGACCAAAAACAAGTATTCACCCTTCATACATATTTATATGTGCTAGGGTATGGGACAGGGAAAGAAGAATTGGTAGTAATCTAATCTGTGATGCTTCTTAAATGGCTGATACAATTTAATATTTATTTACATAACAGCAAAACTATCATCAGATATGCCCTCTAAGCTGAAAAGGTCTCCTAAACCTAAGAAGATGGAACTAATAAACTCTGATTCAGAATCTGAATTTGGTATTCCAAAGAAGTCCATAGTTCCCAAAGGTAAAAAAAAAAAAAAAAGCTGACGTTCTAAACTTCCAATTGTCTTAACGCTGTGATACACATTTCTAATCTTATTATTTAACATTGATTTTTTTGTTAAAAGGCAGTAGCTAAAATTTGCTAAGACATCTTTTTCTTATATATGTATTTTTAATGTTTATATACACTGAAAAAAATTAAAAATATTTACTGAATTTATATTCATCAAACAAAAGCAAGTATGTTAATTTTATTTTATTAAAGAACCCCTTAATATTAAGATCTCAGAACAATGTAAAATCAATATTGAAAACAGACACAATAAAAAGGAAAAATTCGAACTACCTTCAATACCAATAAAGGCTGTCCTTGATTTAAAATATTTCAGTTAGTGACTGTTCAAAGTTACAGCAGCACCGAAAAAAGTGACTTATGACCATTTTTCACACCATTGCAGCATCCCTGGTCATGTGATCAAAATTCAGATACTTGACTCATAGTTATGATGGTTGCAGTGTTCCAGGATTATGTGATTATTGCGAACTTCAGATGAGCAAAGTCAACAGGGAAGCCAGATTCACTTAACAACTATGTTGCTAACTTAACGACTGCAATCACTGAACTGTAGCAAGAATGGTCTTAAAATGAGACAAAACTCACTTATCAACTGTGTTGCTTAGCAACAGAAATTTTGGGCTTAATTGTGGTTGTAAGTCAAGGGCTACTTATACAAAAAGAGTTCAAATATCATACACTCTTATATTTTGCAAAATGTAGCCCTCCCAAAGTGAGATGCAGAAAAGTGCTTCTTGGCTATCCTTAATATTCAAGAAGGTTCATTCTGGAAGAGGAATTCCATCAAGTATCTGGGCCTACTTCATCAACATGTATTTCAGAAAGGAATCAACATAAATGCAAAGTTTGCCTGAATCTGCTTTTTGGCAGAACAAAAAATGAAACTAGCTTGTGTCTCATAGCAACACATAACAATCCAGCAACAGCAACTAAAATATCCAGATCTTAATTTCTTGTCATGGCAGAGGTAAAGAAAATATGGAGGTCACAAGACAAATTTTTATCCAAATGACTCAATTTCAATTTGTTTAGTAATCTGTCGGCCAACAACTTCTACAGTATTTTGTACTTACTGAAATTGTTGACCTTTGTGAATATAGTTTGTGAATGCTTTCAAAAATTAAAATATGGAATACTTTACAAATACTTTGCACGTGATAATAACACAGCTGATATCCTTAAGGCCAGACCTTACAATTTCAGGAACAATTACAGTTATTGCAGGAATTGTAATTTTATAAATGAACTCTGGAGACCACTGAAAAGTTGTTTTCATGTTTAGAATTAAATCTACAAATTAATTCAAATCAATTGAATGTTTGTCTTCTCTAGATTAAGCTTCTATTTTTATGTTTTAACTTCTTACTTATTAGCCAATTTGAATAAAGTTTGATTGGATTCTTTATATTTTGATGACAAGGAAAAACCTGGGTTTCCTTCAATGCCCCAGTGCTTGGAAACTCCAAGAAACATCTGTAAGCATTTCCATAGGCAAAGTATAAAACTGTAAAAGAAAAAATAGAATTAAGACATACAAAATAAAACCAGCTACATATACCAACTAAAAGTTCAAACTATATTTATTATTGATTATTAAGAATCTAGGCGAGTTAAAAAAACAAAAACAAAAAACAATTCTGCCAGACTAAATAGCAAATAATAGATTTTGGGTTAACGATTATGGTTTAACTAATCAGAAAAAAGGGGTTTCATGTAACTATTGGTTGCTATAGCATTTAAGAGATTTCTGTCTATGATATTTTCATCTATTAATATCCTATTAAGGATAGTGATCTGCCAAGTTTTACTTTTTATTAATATAATAATTAAATTTGGATACACAATTTCTCAAGAATAAAATCATACAGCTTGTCTGTCATTCAGTCAAGGACCTTGCTTTGAGAAATTGGTTATACAGTAACAAATAGCAAGGAATCTTGGTTCTATTAAATTATCTGAAAGTAATAGTAATTCTAAACAATTTTATATTTAATGATTTCTCTTTAAAATGTTATTTAAATGTTATTTGTTTACTATGGTGATGGTGTTATCTATTCAGTTATATCATTCAGTTTTATATTTTATTATGGTAAAATATACTCAATGAACTGAGATAGATTCTCCCTTCAATCTTTTAATAGGAAAAGGCAGGGGAGCAAAAAAAAGGAAAGCATCTGGTTCTGAAAATGAAGGTGAATATAACCCTGGAAGAAAACCACCCAAGTCAATTGCGAGCAAGGTAATTTAACAAACTGCTAGATACATTTAATGGTTAATAGCACTAGCAATAACACTTAGACTTATATACCACTTTTTAGTCCTCTTTAAATGGTTTAAAGAGTCAGCATATTGCCCCCAACAATCTGAGTCCTCATAATGAAAACATTGTAAAATAATTCATGGCTTAGCTTACATATGAATTCTTTTTAAAAAAAAAATGCATCTTAGTAGCTTTAAATAGCTACATGATTGAGATTTTCATCACCAGTAACTTTTAATAATTATTTTAAAACAGAAACTGAAGAAAACAGCATTTGATCAGGATTCTGATGTAGACATTTTCCCATCTGACTTTGCTTCTGAAACAACTTCCAGGCCACGGACAGGTCGGGCAAGAAAAGAAGTGAAGTATTTTGCAGAGTCTGATGAAGATGATGATTTTGCTATGTTTTAATTAAGTGCGGAAAGAGCACACAAACTTCCAACAAATATCTTAATTTGTCCTTTTGTCCTTTTCTCTCGCAGACTTTTTGTACATTTGACTTATTTTATGTGATGTAATTGATGGTTTTTATTATTGTGTGTAGGCATTTTAACATTTTGTTCTTACACTTACAGTTTTATGCTCTTTTTTACTCATTGAAATGTCATGTGTCTGACCGGCTTGTAGAAATGTTCTAGAAAGCTGTGCAAAAGCGCACATTTTAATTGTCATGGTTGCAAACAGCAAACCTTTTTGAAATGAAGTTTAAACATTAAAAATATAAAACCATTTACTTGTGTATAGAGTTTGCTCTAAATAATTTTTGTTTACACAGGGTCAAAATAAATATATTTTATTTTTTGCCAAGAGAATTCATGGAAAAAGATAAACAGCATATGAACATAGAAAGCATTGTTAAACAATCTCAATGTACAAACAAAGCCAGTGAAAGTACATCACAGATTTGCTGGAATATATAAAAAAATCCACCAGTGCTTTTAATGAAACCTAAAAAAAACCTGACACTTTAAAAAATTCTAACCATTCTACCACATTTTTGCTGTTTTATGGTGATTAGCAAGGTCATAGACACAGATTCCATCATCCGTTTCAAGGTGTTTTGGTGCCAGCCCTGTGGTGCCACAGAAGAGAATGATAGGACTGAGGAACACTTTATCCAGAGTGGGGGTTTTTTCCCCCACTAGTGCCATCGATTCAGAGGTAGTGATTATGCCTGGTTGTTATTTCACCAAGTTTTCCTAATAGCTTGTGAACAAGTAAAATAATATAACACTGTAAAGTGTTTTTGCCTTGAAGGCTATAAACGAAGTAAAATTTCAGTATTTTTAAAAGTAAAGAAGTCAAAGTAATAAATCCTTTGTATATTTTTAAAGTGACATTAACAATAGAACAAATTATGTTCAAATAATTGAGCTGGCAGTTACACTCCCACAAAAATTCTGCTAATGCTGTGAAATTCTTTGATCTTTTGCTGGGAAAGAAGTAATACACTGAGGTCTTTAAAAAGAGCAATGATAAGTTTTCATCCTTAGACTGTGTCTTTTAAAATGTTTTTTATCCAGACAAATATGTTATCCATTTCTAAGGAAAGTTTGGGGCATTTCATGTACACATTTAAAAAGGGAAAGCATCAAACATCCAGGATAGAAAGTACACATTCATATATTTTATATGTACAAAGTCATCAGAAATGGTATAACCACAAATTTTAAACCTCCTCAAGATCAATCTTGTCACTTGCAATTGTGGCCATTCAAAAGAAGCAATAGCAACATATCAGTTTGTTTATTTCATGAAGTCAGAGATTCAGAGCACAGTCCTACAAATGTAGAGAAATAATAGAATTTACTCTGTGTGTGTGTGTGTGCGTGTGCGTGCGTGCGTATGCGCACACCCACACAAACATGATTGTAATTTTAGTGTACTGAACATTTATGTTTCAAATTAAGCTGCACATTCTTCTTCTTTATGTGTATAAACATACTCATACCTTCACACAATATATATACATATAAACAATTCTTGGTCCTTTTGGATTGTAGTGTCTGTAAAATTCCAGAAAAATAAGCAGCCGTAGAGAAAATATGCCATGTCATCCTTGTACATAAGAGTTAGGAATTTCACTAGAGAAAATTTCTTACTGCACCAAAGGAGACTGACTGACACTGCTATTATCTACCAAGCTTGGGGAAATACTTGGACTGTGGTCTGCTGTTGTCACTGTTGAGCTTGGTGTCAATGGTTCATGTCCTTCTGAGTTCTCCAACATTTCCTGGATAAGAGGTGGCATAGATCCAGGGATTTCCATTTTCAATGTAATAACACGTTCAGCACCTTCAGAACAGAAAAAAAATGTAAAAAGTTAGCATTTTTTCCAGTCACATTTCACTTGTTTCATGAAAGATATTTAGGAAATATTAGAACTAATACACAGAATAACCCACTTATTACATGGATTATTGCAGTAAACTATGTCTATATTTGGGTAACAGCAATAGAAAAATTATTCAGGTATTTTATTAGAGTGTTTCCTATCTATTCAGAGCTAGGACAAAGAATCGATGAACATTCTCAGGTAGAGATTTTATAAACAGAAAAATGTCCAAAATTTAGAGATGGGATATAGCGCTGTCTTGCTTCTTTGACATATAAAAACTAAAAAGTATTATTTAGATGTATTATTTAGATGGCCACGTAAACAAGCTGCATTTGGATTATGTACAAAGTCTTAAAATTATTGTTATGGAGCAAGAAATCAAAAGTTTATTCAAAATCTGATAAAATCGTAGCTGTGTATTTTTATCTTAGTGCCATATTTGAGCAAATTTAAACCATATAATAGAAAGCTAAGGAAGGAAGGAAGGAAGAAAGAAAAAGAGAAAGAAAGAAAGAAAGAAAGAAAGAAAGAAAGAAAGAAAGAAAGAAAGAAAGAAAGAAAGAAAGAAAGAAAAAATTACAGAGAAATCCTGTATTGGGAAAGAGGACAATTTCTAAGATGAAAAAACATATTTCAAAGCATGGAGTCTTTAATTCAGAAAATGTCTATCGAACAGTTCTTTGGAATTTTTTAAATTCTTTCACTGGTAATAAGAAAAAAAAGTCATGCAGTCATGTAGAACATCGATTTTATTTTATTTTTCTATTTGTTAAACTGCAATGGTTCATTTTAACTAGCAGAAAAATATTTCTGTTGAATTCAATGAATCTTTTGCTAATATAGTCAACCTTTAGGAGCCATTTTGGATTACTCTTGTTTTCTGAAAAATGTTCAGAATAAACAGATCTACCAACAAAATTGAGCCTCTTAGCAAAAATATGGCAAAAACCCTTTGTTTGCATATCAATTTATACTAAAAGATATAATTATTAATGTGTTGAACTCATAACTGCCTTAATTTCAAGGAAAATCAAATTTACCCACTTACAGTCATATGTTTTAATTTCTAAGCACAAGTCATGAAGAAAAACATGTTTTGGTTGAGATGTGACACTTGACATTTTCATGTTAAGTAAACCAGGGTCATCTCTATTTTAAAAAGGGGTACAGCTTTGACAATGCAGGCACAGTTGCCATTTTTATTTTTTTTGAGCTCTCATGAACACTTCAGAACTGAATGCTCAATCTTTGATTTTTTCATGAAATAATGGTATTCCTCAGCCAATATAGTAGATTTAGCCATACCTATTACTAACTGATCTATATATCTGTGCACTGGTAGCTCATCATATTAGAAGTCTGAATCTGATGTCTCAATTAACTAATTTTTTCCAACCATCCCAACAACTAAAACAAGTTGGCAATACTTTATTTTTTTCTTACCATTTTTTTTTAAAAAAAATATTGTAATCATGCAATTAGAATTAGTGGCGTTACAATCCTACCCAAGTATATACTACATCATATTTGCTTTTGGAATGGGCTGAGCCAGCAGGAGAAATAGTCAGAGATAACATAGAATTTCCTTTGGACACTATTTTCACAGAAATGGGGGAAAGATCCATTGATTCATTGGGAAGTCAAAAGAATGACAGGATTCAAAAAGATCTTGACAAACTTGAACAATGGGTCATATCCTAACAAAATGAATTTTAATGTGGAAAAAAGCAAAGTTTTACATTTAGACAGGAAAAATCAAAGATATCAGTACAGATTATGTAAGACCTAGCTCAAAAACAGTGAGAGGGACCTTGGAATCCTAGTGGATGAATGAATATGAGCCAAAAGAGCTAATACAATCCTGGATGATATAAACAGGCATAGTGTCAAGATCATATGAAGTATTGGTACCGCTTTATAAAATCCTAGTAAGACCATACCTGGAATACTGCAACCAATTTTGGACACAATACTACAAAAAAGATGTTGAGACTTTGGAAAAAGTTCAGAGGAGAACAACTAAGATGATCAAAGGCCTGCATACTAAAACACATGAAGAACAGCTGCAGGATTTAGGTTTGGCTAGTCTAAAGAAAAAAAGATTAGTGACGACATGATAGCAGTATTCCACTATTTGAGGGAAAAAGAAGAGGGGGTCAATTTATTTACAAAGCACTACAGGACAAGAAACAATGGTTGGAAACTAACCAAAGACCTGGCATAAAGAAGAAACTTCCTTACAGTAATGACAATTAACCAGTGAAACAGCTTGCCTTCAGAAATCGTGGGCACTCCATCACTGGAGGTTTTTTAAGAAGAGATCTGACAATCAACTGTCTGAAATAGTATAGGTTGTCCTGCTTAAGCAGGGGGCTGGACTAGAAGACCTTCCAGCTCTATTCCTATTCCTATTCCTATTCCTATTCCTATTCCTATTCCTATTCCTATTCTATTCTATTCTATTCTATTCTATTCTATTCTATTCTATTCTATTCTATTCTATTCTATTCTATTCTATTCTATGACACAGGAAACTGAGACCTATCAGCTTGACATCAATACCTGGAAAGATTCTGGAAAAGATAATCAAGCAACCAATCTGCAAACACCTAGAAGCAAAAAAAATCATAACCAAAAGCCAGCGTGGGTTTGTCAAGAACAGATCAAGCCAGACAAATCTTATTGCATTCTTTGATAAACTGACATTAGTGGACCAGATAAATGCTATGGATATAATTTACTTGGACTTTAGTAAGGTATTTGATAAAGTAGGCCACAACCTACTAACTTAACTACTTGATAAGATAGAAAAATACAGGTTAGATAACATCACCACCAGATGGATTCATAGCTGTCTGGCCAATTGCACTCAATATGTAGTTCTCAATGGAACTTATCTACATGGAGGGAAGTATGCAGTGGGGTATTCCAAGGTTCTGTCTTAGGCCCAGTAATCTTCAATATCTTCATCAATTATTTAGATGAAAGGATAGATGGGGAGCTCATCAAATTTGCACATGACATCAAGCTAGCAGGAATAGCCAACGTTCTAGAACAAGGGTGTCAAACTCACAATGACGCATCACCATGTGATATATCACAACTTTTCCCCCTTCACTAAACTGGGGGTGGGCATGGCCAGCATATGACGCATCCGGCCCATGGGCTGTGAGTTTGACATCCCTGCTCTAGAAGATTTAAGATACAGGATATTGACAAACTTGAACAATAGGCTCTATCTAACAAAATGCATAGCTCAATTGTAGTAATTGTGAAAGGGATCATGGAGTCCTAATGAATAATCACTTAAATATAAAACAGCAGTGTGCTGCAGCTGCCAAAAAGGCCAATGCCACTCTAATAATGCCTTGTAAGACCACTGCATCCAATTTTGGTCGCAATTATATCAAAAAATATATTAGACTAGAAAGAGTACATAGAAGAACAAAAATGATTAGGTGATTGAAGGCTAAAACATATAAAGTATGGTTGCTGAATAAGGTATGTCTAATTTAATGAAAAGAAGGACTAGGATGATATGATAGCAGATCTCTTTACCTGGCTCTATACATTTAATCCTAAACATTACTACTTTACTTAAAAAGTCATTCTGCAATGATAACTTTGATTATTGATGAGCTTTACATAAATGAAATTTATATAAAGTTCATCATGATCATGTAAATCAGAAATTTACATAAGTCAAGAAGTTCAGGGTCGGTATTTTTTTTTCATTAAGGAAACTGAAATTATGCAAACATAACAAGCATATCTAAGAGTTGCCATAAAGGAGAAGGAGTCAATCTATTATTCAAAGCACCTGCAGGCAGGACAAGAAGCAATGAATGGAAACTAATCAAGGAGAGAAGCAACCTAGAACTAAGGAAATTTCTTCAGAGAACAATTAATAAGTGGAACAAGCTCCCTCCAATAGTTGTGGATGCTCCAACACGAAGTTTTAAAGAAGAGATTGGACAAATATTTGTCTGAAGTGGTATAGGGCAGGGGTATCAAACTGATGGCTCATGGGCTGGATGCATCATGCACAGGCCACCCGAGATCCGTGAAGGGAAAAAAATCTTTGCGATATGCCACGTGACGGCAATGTGACGTGGTAAGATTGACACCTGTGGTATAGGATTTCCTGCAGAACAGGAAATCTACTGTAGATTCCTTCTAACTGTGTTATTCTGTAATGCCTTTCTACTAATGCCTTTCTAAAAATGTATTTCTGTAACTCTTTTAGCGTTATCCAGCTAGGTCAACAATTGCAATTGTCAACAATCTCCTGTTGACAATACTGCTACCCTACAAAAAGATCTTGACTATGTATCAGAGTGGTCAAACAAATGGCAACTTCAAATCTCAACAAATAAATGCTCTGTCTTACATATTGGCAAAAAAAATCAGAAAATAAAATACAAGCTGAATAGTCAAGATCTTGTTGATGACCCAAGCTCTGTAAAGGACCTTGGAATACTCACCTCTAATGATCTAAGTGCTAGAGCCCACTGCAACTACATAGCCAAAAAGGCATTAAGAGTTGTTAACCTAATCCTACGTAGCTTTTTCTCTGGTAATATCACACTACTAACCAGAGCATACAAAACATTTGCTAGACCAATACTCGAATACAGTTCATCAGTCTGGAACCCACACTACGTATCTGATATTAGCACAATTGAGAAAGTCCAGAAATATTTCACAAGGAGAGTTCTCCACTCTTCTACTCATTGTAGAATACCTTATGCCACCAGACTTGAAATTCTAGAACTAGAAAACCTTGAATTACGCCGTCTTCGGTCTGACTTAAGCATGGTATATAAAATCATACATTGCAATGTCCTACCTGTCAATGAATACTTCAGCTTCAACCATAACAACACAAGAGCACACAATAGATACAAACTCAAAGTAAACCGCACCAAACTTGATTGCAGGAAATACGACTTCAGCAATAGAGTGGTCAATGTCTGGAATACTCTACCCGACTCTGTAGTTTCTTCCCCAAACCCCAAAAACTTTAACCTTAGACTGTCTACTATTGACCTCACCCCTTTCCTAAGAGGCCTGTAGGGGGCATGCATAAGCGCACCAACGTGCCTACCGTCCCTGTCCTATTATTTCTCTTATTCTTTTATTTTTCTTATATGTACCCATTTCATGTATTCACAACTATGTATACATTTATACTTATTATCTTGTAAACAATTGGCAAATCAAATAAATAAATAAATAAATAAATAAAATAAATACATCTCCATGTTCCTTAAAAACTTATCAAACTTACCTTTTGCACTGATACTGCGTAGATCTGTGATTTTCATTAAGATCTTTGGAAACATATGAGGTTTGTTGGGTCTTCTTTTTCGGATGTATATTTTGAGAGCTTCTAATAATGGCTCCTGTAGTTCATCTACTTTTGCTGGTTCTTCAAGGTCCTGGCGATCTGAGAAGGTATAATAGTTAAATGTTTGTACTCAAACATTAAACAGTTATAAACACACGCTATGATGGCTTTCTATTTTCCTTTTACTTGTTCTGAAGATTTAAAAAAAACAATTCCTACTTGTCATCCTTGTGGTAACATTCTTCGCACAACTTGGTTTTTTTCTAACTGGTGAGGCTGCAACAATTGAACTATTTATTTCCTCTTTTCCAGCTGTAAACTATTGCACTGCCAAAAGTAAATATTATAAAGTCCAACAGTAAGTATCCATACAATTTTAATTTGTGAAACAGTAACATAAAATAACGAAGTAAATTTCAAAGATTAATATATATTCTTTATCTTTTATTTCTTTGGTATCCCTGATCCCAGAGCAATATTGCCTTTGGGTGCCAGTAGGTGTTAGCAAAAGATTAAAGGAAAGCTAGATGTACAATATTGCTTTCCTCCATTCATATTTAAACACTAAACATTGTTGCTAATGCTAATACCTTAATGTATCTACCACCAGATTTTGCCTGAAGGAATATATATATGAAGAAATATTTAGATTTTGGCTGTGCTTTCCTCCAATTTTTTTCCAACATTCAAATCATTTTTAAGTAATCCAATTTTGGTTACAGTTTAGTTTTATCTCAAGGCATTTCAATACCACCTTCTTTCTTTCTAATTTCTTTACATAGAATTCTCTGTTTCACAGTTACCATACCATGACCCCCTCTTCTCTTTTTCTTCAGCTACCACCAGATTTCATATCTTGAGTCTAGAACATTAAGAAGCCAAAACAAATATGAAAACATGACAAAGAGCCTGATTAGGGACCACCTATCTCCCCGCTGTATCTGGCCAGTCAAATCAAGATAGGTTCCTTCAATTAAGCCCTGGAAGAATGCCTTCTCTTGATGTATCTTGTTAGATCTGAGGTGGATCGGGTCGAAGGAGACACGAGACCATTCTGTGAGTTCAGCTCTTTATTTAGAAGAGAAATAGTCTGAAGAATACAAGCCGCGGCAACCCTTCATATAGGGCTGGCTCGCGGCTCGGCGGCCAATGGCAGCACTTTGAATCTCCCGCGATCGGCACAGCCAATCGCGGTAGGTTCTTAGCACTCCAATCACGGCCGGGGCTTCAACCAATCAGGTCGCTGTCCGTCTGGACCAATCAGTTGCGAGGGTTTGGAGTATGCTAATACAGCACACCCCTCCCCTCTTGGTTTCGTCTGTCGGTGCGTCGTGACGTAGTCGCGCAGGTAGGCGGGGCTTCGTACCTGTCTAGTTGACCTGCGCGGTTCAGTTCCCGTGTGGTTGTCGACCGGTTCGGAGGGCTTCTCTGTCGCTCCGGTTCCTAGGGCTGGAACCGCCTGGAAGGTCGGGCTGGGCCTTTCTTGGTAGCTCCCTCCCGGTCTACCCAGGCTGGTTGAGCTGCCGTTTCTGTTGTTCCCGCCAGATCTTTCCGGGCTGGTTGAACTGGTCTGGCTGCTCCTTCCCGGTGACGATTCCGGGGTTGCCTGTTCTGTTGGGCCTGCGTTTACTGGTGAGTAGGACTGGTTTATTTGTGGTTTATTTGTTCCGGGTGGGGGTTGTTCTGCTTGCTCTAGGGGGATCCCTCTTTCTTTAATGTTTGCCGTTTCCCCCCCCCCTTCTAGTTTCTTGCTCGGGTGTATGGTTGTTGGCTATTCTGGACCTCAGTTGGTTAATGTGCCATTTCCAGTTTTTCCCGTTGCTTGTTTCTAGTCGGTATGATAAGGGGCCGGTTATTTGGGTGATCATTGCTGGTATCCAGAGTGGTTCCCCTGACAGGTTTTTCGCGTATACTGCGTCCCCTATGTTGAATTTTCTGTGTTTGCTGGAAGAGCCCGGGGGTTTGTCAGGGGTGTATGTGGGGTGCATTCTATCTAGCGTTGACCGTAGTTTTCTGCCCATCATTAGTTCTGCCGGGCTTCTATTTGTGGTTGCGCTAGGTGTGATGTGTTGAATGAGGAGCATTTTATTGATTTTGTCTTGTATGTTGGTTGCTTCTATTTTCTGGATGGCTTTTTTGTGTATTGGACCATGCGTTCCGCCCGTCCGTTCGCCGCCAGATTTGCCGGCGCAGTTAATGCATGGCGTATGCCCTGGCCTGCCAGAAATTGTTCAAACGCTAGTGCGGTGAACTGGGGCCCGTTGTCAGATACTATTATATCTGGCAGGCCGTGTGTGGCAAAGAGTTTGCCCAGTTTCCTTATTACCGCCTCCGTTGTGGTTGATTTCATGGTGCTTACCTCCAGCCAGTTGGAGTAAGCATCTACTGTGATGAGGTACATGTGCCCCTTGGTTGGCCCCGCGAAGTCTATGTGAATCCGAGACCATGGTCCTCTTGGTGTTTCCCATTCCTGTATTGGGGCGGCAGGAGGACTGGGTCTGGACTCTTGGCATTGTTTGCATTTGGCTACCCAGGTTTCAATCTGTTTGTCCATGCCTGGCCACCATGCATAGCTTCGGGCCAGGCTTTTCATCTTAACCATCCCTGGGTGCCCCTCATGCAGCATCCCCAATACCCTTTCTTGTAATGTTTCCGGGATTACCACTCTGTCTCCCCAAAGTATAGAGCCCTTCTCGGTAAAGAGTTCAGTCTGTCTGTTTCGGAAGGGTCTGAATAGTTCATCCCTGTCCCCTTCCGGCCATCCTTTTCCAACCCAGCTTAGGACTCGTGCCAGCCGCTTGTCTTTATTTGTTTCTCTGGCAATGTCTGGCGCGGTCACTAGTGGGTTGGGTATTGTCTCTATTTGAAATACCTCTGTCGTGGGTGCTGGGTCATCTTCTAGCTCGGGCAAGGGTGAGCGGCTCAGGGCGTCTGCGTGGGTGATGTCCTTCCCGGGTCGGTGGATCAGCTGGTAGTTGTATGCTGACAGGAACTCAGACCACCTTGTCATTCTTGGTGATAGAATGTTTGGTGTGGCCTTATTTCCTGCCAGGATCCCTAGCAGCGGCTTGTGGTCCGTGATGATTGTAAAAGTCCTACCGTAAAGATATTCGTGGAATTTCTTGACGCCGGCGACGACTGCTAGGGCCTCTTTGTCGAGCTGGCTGTAGTTCCGCTCCGGCTTTGAAAGTGTCCTTGATGAGAAGGCGATGGGTGCTTCCTTCCCGTCTGGTAGTTGGTGGCTGACGATGGCGCCAATCCCAAAAGGTGATGCGTCGCACGTTACCGTTAATGGCAGAGTCTCGCTGTACTGGATTAGTACCGCGTCAGATGTTAGCAGTTTCTTTGTGTTGTTGAAAGCGCTCTCCTCCCGTGCTCCCCAGGTCCAGGTGGCTGTTTTATCTAGCAGCCTATGCAATGGTTCTGCCACGGTCGCCTTTTGAGGTAGGAAGACATTGTAAAAGTTTAACAGTCCCAAGAAAGCCTGCAGTTCCGTTTTGTTTTTGGGTCGTGGCGCTTCCCTTATGGCTCTCAGTTTCTTCTCTGTGGGGTGGATCCCTTGTTTGTCTAGGAGGTACCCTAGGAATTCGACCCTCTCAGCCCGTAACTGGCACTTCCCTTTCTTGACTTTGAGCCCCGAGTCTCTGAATTTCTTCAGTACCTCCCTCAACCGGGCTTCTAGTTGTTTTTCGTCTCTTGTGGCCACTAAGACGTCGTCAAAATAGGGCACCACCCCCTCTATGCCCTGGAGGAGTCTTTCCATGAGGCTTTGGAAGACCCCGGGTGCCACGCTGACTCCAAACTGGAGCCGGTTGCAACGGAAAGCCCCCCGGTGCGTTACGATGGTCTGGGCTTCGGCGGTTTCAGCATCGACCGGCAGTTGCTGGTAGGCTTGGGCAGGTCGAGTTTGGCAAAGATCCGCCCCCCCCCCAGCGAGTGCAGAAGGTGCTGCACTACTGGGACGGGGTATGCGCTTTGCTGGAGCGCGTGGTTTAGGGTGGCCTTATAGTCCCCACAAATCCTCACGGACGCATCTGGCTTGATGGGGGTGACTATGGGGGTCTCCCACCTGGCATGATCAATTGGCTCCAGTACCCCTTGCGCGATGAGCTTATCTAGCTGCTCATCAATCTTGGACTTGAGTGCAAATGGCACTCGTCTGGGTTTAAGGCGGATTGGTGCGATGCCCGGGTCTATGTTAAAAGAGATAGGGGACCCCCAGTACTTGCCTAGGCTATCGTCGAAAACTTCCTGGAAGTCCTCCACGAGCGCCGCTTCCCAGTCCGACTCTGCGGTGCGGTGGATTCCGGTTACTCCAATGCCTAGGGGTGCGAACCACTGTAATCCCAACAGGCTCGGCCGATCCCGGTCGACGATGGTCAGGGGTAGCACTTCGGTGTGGTTCTTGAAGGTGACTTTAAAATGGCCTCTGCCAACTACAGGGATACGGTTTCCCTGGTAGTCTTTGAGGGTTAGTGTTTGGTCTTCTAATTCTTTGCGGCGGATGGAGGGAACCAGGCGCTTGATGGTGTGCCATGAGACCATGGAGAGGGAGGACCCAGAGTCCACCTCCATGTCGCATGGCTGGTCTTCTATCCCCACCGTCACGTATACCTTTCTGGCGTCTCTTGTGGAGGAATGGCCGCCGCCGCCGGTCTGGTGTGTTTCCTCCCTTTGCCTTGCCTCGTTGAGCCGCCTGTTCCGACCCTCTTGGCTCCAGCGGCTCTCCGTCTGGCGGTCTCGGTATCGGGTGGGGGTGTTCTCTTGCCTGCGAGGGCTGCCATCTCGTCGCCGCGGGCTGTAGTGTTTATTTCTGCACACCTTGGCGATGTGCCCCCATTTGTCGCACTGTCGGCAAACGGCATCGAGGAACCGGCAGTCCGAACGGGGGTGGTCGCCTCCACAGCCGGCGCACTGGAACCTTGACTTACGACCTTGGGGTTCCCGTCGCCCTCGTGCTGCTTGCAGGCGGTGGATTTCCTCCTCCTCGTCCTCGGTTCCTGAGAAGGAGTCAATGTCGCCGTGGTGCGTGGTTGCGTCCCGGTGGTCGATCTCGGGTCGCTTTTCGGGGTTCGGTGTCATCTCGCCGGTCGCCGCTCGTGGCGCGATGCTCGATTGCCGCATCCAAGCTGCTGATTTCTTGGCCGCTTCAGCCGCGGCTACCTCTGTGAGCGCATCGGCGAGGGAGATGTCGCCCTTCGCCATGATGCGGCTCTGGAGAATGGGGTCTCGGAGCCCCAGGACGACGCGGTCTCGCAGGGCCTCGTCCAGGTCGGTGAACTCGCACAGGCCCCCCTAATCTCGTAGTGCCGCTATGAAGTCGCCAAGCCCCTCGCCTTCGCGCTGGTCCCGCCTGTAGAATTCGTGCCGCCGGATGAGGATGGGCACGACGGGGGCGTAGTGGCTTCGTAGCAGGGGCTCGAGGTCGCCCCACTCCATGGTCTTGACGTCCTCCGGTTTGGCCAAGGCTTTGGCCATCTTAAACACCACCGGCCTGCAGTGTGCGAGGAATACGGCCCGTTTCTTGTGACCGTTGGCATCTTTAAGATTGCTACACTCGAGGAACATCTGGAACCTATCGGTATAGGATTCCCAGTCCTCGGTAGCGGGATTGAAGGGTGCGGGTGGTGAGTTGATGCCGGCCATTCTGCTGCTGCAGTGTGCCGCCTCGCCACGTGCTGGGTGGTCTCTTTGTCTCACGATCCCACCCTCGTCGCCAGTGTTAGATCTGAGGTGGATCGGGTCGAAGGAGACACGAGACCATTCTGTGAGTTCAGCTCTTTATTTAGAAGAGAAATAGTCTGAAGAATACAAGCCGCGGCAGCCCTTCATATAGGGCTGGCTCGCGGCTCGGCGGTCAATGGCAGCACTTTGAATCTCTCGCAATCGGCACAGCCAATCGCGGTAGGTTCTTAGCGCTCCAATCACGGCCGGGGCTTCGACCAATTAGGTCGCTGTCCGTCTGGACCAATCAGTTGCGAGGGTTTGGAGTATGCTAATACAGCACATATCTACTCCCACAGAATTGAACAGTCCCCATCCTAATAATGTTTCAAGAGACTGGAGCACCTGGCACTTATTTAAGCCTTTGTTGGAGATGACTGAAGCTTCATTTTAACTTAAGTAAGTTTCTTTTATTAATCCAGTTAATTATTTTACCACCTCTGCTCTTTTTTGTTTCTTGTTGTTTTTACTGTCATGTTTTAAATATGTGCCAAACTATGAAGTTGCTGAGAATTGGGCAGTTTATAATTTGAATATATATTAACAATAAGGTTTTTCTAATATCTGATTTTAATAAGACAGGAAATGTTCTGCAATAGCTAACAAACTTCCTCTTACTTCCATGTTAACTGCATCAAAATGTAAAATCCTATCGGCAAAATCTGGAGAAATGCTAGCCTATTCAACTCATTTAATAATTAAGCTGATGTATTCAAACACACCTCCACAAATTAAGCAGATGGCACTAAGCAGGCCAGTTTCAGTGTCATCCATTTCCAATGGCAGAAGCTGATTGGCAAATGTGAACACAAGATCTGTCAGGGGACCAAATCCAGCATTATGCATCTGAGTTCGGTTTAGCGTAAGGCCATCAGAAAATGTCATTGTGTCTTGTTCAGGGGTGTATCTTGTGCAAATGCGGAGAATCTGGGAAGGAAAAAAGGAAAGGAAGAAAGAAAAGTTAGGTCAACTCAGGAAGGTTAAAAATGATGAGTTTTGGAAATAATCCTCCTTATAGTTATTGCCTCCATCAATTGGTTTGACTAGACCAAAATCTCTTTAAAATTTTGGAGCCATCACTTAGCTAAATTATTTTTAAAAAATCCAATAGTGTACATCTTATGCCACCAAATACTAAATGTTAACTCAGAAGTTAAGACTCAAGTATTGCAGTCCCTAAGAAATACTTGTCTGAAGCAAAATAGTTTAGATGTTTTAGGCCAAATGCTCACTTTTTTCTCTATCTTTTCTATGTAACAAATGTTTTAATATGTATCACATATGCTTTAATAAGCAGTACAAATTCTTGGTCTGCAATTATTGCAATTTTTCTTTAGAGTCAAGAAAGGGAAGAAGATGTACCATAGACTACAATGGAATGCCTCTGCCCATTCAGGGTTGGAACTGATCAAGTCTGTTCTCTCTTTGTTTGTTGGTTTATTAAATTTGTTTGCCAGCCATATTGCAGCACTTCTGGATGATTTACAGCATCAAAATGAAACCATAAATACATATATAAGCATATAAAATTACAATAAAATTGTACTAAAAATACAGGTAAAATAATATTATTATGTGGAAAACAAAATACTGCAATACATTTAATTTATAGCAATGTATATCCTGATTGATTGTTAAGAAAATCTTTCCAACAGTAAGAGCAGTTCAACCCTAACCCTAACTGATAACCAAGGAAATAGTCTACTTCCTATTGCTCAAATGTATCCAAGTAGAAACTAGTCAGCCCTTATGTTGTGTTCTGGATTCCTTATAGCAGAAGTCTCCAAACTTGACAACTTTAAGAACTCCCCAGCCAATTGAAGTCCACAAGTCTTAAAGTCATCAAGGTTGGAGATCCCTGCCTTACAGGACAGGATTTGGAGTTGAAGTTCCAGTGACTCATTCTAATTTTGAACACTCTTAAGAATCTTGCTAGAATTTATATGATAAATCAATCACACTGATACTGGAATTTGGCAGCTTGAAATCTGAGTCCTCTCAGAATAATGGAACACAATAAAAGAGCTTTATTAGAAGTCTTCTGGTCCAAACCCCTGCTCAAGCAAGAAACCCTACAATATTTCAAAAAAATGGTTGTCCAATCTCTTCTTTAAAAACAAATGTTGGAGCATCTACAAGTCACTGAAGTCAAGTCTTATTAATTATTCTGTCAGGAAATTTCTCCTTAGTTCTAGGTTGCTTCTCTCCTTGATTAGTTTCCATCCATTGCTTCTTGTCCTACCCTAAGGTGCTTCAGGTTGATTCCTTCTTCTTTGTGGCAGCACCTTAGGTACTGGAACACTTCTAATTGTGCAGAAAAAAGTGGTAGCCTGTCCTGCTAATAGCTCCTCATTCTGCATATTGTTAATCTTTTTGGAGTTTTTCCATATAGTCCAGTGGAAGTATAGTATTGTGGGTAGTATGTGAGAAAGGAATGTTGCTAAAGTTGGTCCTACATAAGAAAAGATCATCTTCAGAAATGTAAAAGCCTTTTGATCTGAGCGAGAATGAAACAAGGCTATCTACTTTCATAAGTGCTCCAACTAAACACATAAAGTGATCCTTTTGCTCAAATTATTTAATTTTCTCACTTCTGAAGCACTCAAGCTCTTAAGAACATACAAAGGTTCCATGTGGCTCCCTGCATCTCCTAAAAAATCTGAGACAGTAATTTATTAGGTATTCTCAATAATTATTAATTAGTTCCCAAATAAAATAATGCATCCTAAAGAACCACTCAGTGGCCAAACAGAACATTTCTAAATAATGTCCAATTTACCACAGGTTGACTCCACTCAAGGTGTAGAAACATGTCAGCAACAGTCAAGAGAAATGGGAGGTATTAAAGCTAAATTACAGATGTTGTTGCAAAGAGTTTGAATACTTAGACAAATGTGATATTTTTTCTTAAACTGAAATAAGTAAATTTAAAGACATTTCTAAAATTCTGTTTTCACTTTGTCATTATGGAGTGCTGAATGTAGATTAATGAGAAAAACATGAATTTCAACAACTGTAGAATCAAGCTGCCACAACAAAAGGGAAATGAGTCTGAATACTTTCTGAATGCACTGTATCTGTAATCAAGAGTAACTTTTTATCTTTAGAGAGAGTCCTGCAAGAAAGAACTCCACTATAATCAATTTCACAATGCAGAGGTGGATAATTTGAAACCTAGTTTGAAAGAGGACCATAGGTTCATTTCATGTATTTGTTGGCCTGACAGCAATCAATTCAGACTTCTCAGCAAGAAGAAGATAGGGCAAGGGAAGAGAAAGCAAGCATAGAACAAAAAATAAAAATAAAAAGGAGTGATAAGAAGATCATATTAAAAAAAATAAGAATGCCACGTCTACCTAACCACTCTACTTTTCACCCCACCCAAACAGTGAGAACGTAATGGATCCCATGATGATCAGATATACACAAGAGAAATCTCTACATTGCTCCAGACAGGAAAAGTTGTCCAGAATGCTAAAGATGGCACATATCCACATGAGATATATTACTACCTGTACAAAAGCTTGATCTAATCCTGTCTGGGATCTAGGATGGTCCTTGAAGCAAGGGAGATTATAGATGATAATGTCTGGCTGCTGATAAATGTTCCAGGGGAATGGCAAGCTGAAAATATCAAGCAGCCTCTTAAGAGTGAAGAGTTAAGAGAAGTTATTATGAAAACTCTCTCTTAATCTTTATTTTAAAAAGCCATACCAGCAGTAATATATTAACCATTTATTAATCTATTCTGTCTCTCAACTGTCTCTTAACTTCCTTCTCAGAATTCTTTGTCAAGCATACTTGGAACTATGCCAGATTTTATAAATCATGTCATTACTTCACTATATCATGTTACAGCAGCATTAACTATGGCAGGCATGTAATTGACAATAGATGGCTCTGCCTTGAAGGAAGAGCATACACAATGAAAAGAAGACTAACAAATGTGAAAGCCTGTATGAAAAAGAACCCTGCTAAGTGCATCTTTGAAGTGCACACTAATCTCCTCTTGGCCTCTTCTCATCGGCTTGTAGTAGTGGTAGAGCTTTCAAGAAAAGGAAAAGGAGGAGGGTGGAGTTGGCGTTGCGGTGGTACGACGTGCAATCTTGAGGCTCAAGATCGCTGCTGATATCTCCACTGTTGGACGGTCCCACCGGACCTAAACCGTCCCGTAGAGATGGTGACAGAGAAGGGCACATCCTGTTGATCCCAGGGACACCTCAAAGTCCCTGGTAGATCCAGGAGAAGCCCTTTTTGCTAGCGGCAGAGAGGCAGCCATTTAAGCTGCTGAAGCTGGGACAGCTCCGGAACAGAAGAGATCTGGAAAGAAAGTGTGTCAGTTTGGTGAGATAAATTTCTACTTATTTTTTGGAAAGAACACCCTAAAAGACTTAAAGTGAAATTAAAAGTGAAGACAAAAGAGGTTAACCAGCGAGATTAAGCTAAATTTAAATTTGAAGGTTTTTTTCCCTTTTTATTGGAACTTGGAATTTGGTTAAAGCTTCACAATTTTAAACTGGACTGGTCTTTTTCTCTAATTTTTTACTTTTTAAATAATCTCTTTGAAAGTCTCTTTTGATTAGGACTTTTCTTTTTTCTTTTTTAGCTTTTTCATTTGAGGTTTACCTTTTTCTTTTTTTTTCTAAAGACTTTACTTTTTTTATTTATTCCTGGCTTTGGATATACAAGGGGAAGTGAAAGTGAAGGGAAATAAGTAACACTGCCATCTAGAGGCTTGGATACATTGTTTTTTTTCCTCTTATTTTACTTGTTTATGCATTGGTGTTACATTCAAGGACTCTGAGCCTTTTACTGAAAAGATAGTGGAATGAGCATGGTAGATTGTTTATACAGGTGCTCTTCTGTGAAACTATTGATAGCCAGAGTCTGGAGTTGAAGTTGAAAAAGATTGAAGTGACCTTGAAAATAGAACTGGAAATTTTGTTTTTTTGATTTACCAAAGAGCCTTGGACATTTAAGTGGCAGTGGTTTGCTTCCAGTCAGAATTGTTTGTTATCCTTTTTTTTTATTTCTGCTCCAGCTGGATTTTTATGTTTGAACTTTAGCCTTTTGATCCAGGAATTAGAATATATTTTTCTTCCTTTCCTTTTCTTTTGCTGTACCTTTTTTATTAAGGGGAATACACAGACCTCTATTTTTTAAATTTCTTTTTTTTATTTTTTATTTTATTTTTTCACCTTCTCTTCTTTTTACATTTTTTTTTCTTTTCTTCTATAATTGGAATCAATTGGATTAAGGTATACAAGTGCCTGAAGATTCTTCCTTTTCCCTTTTTTATTTTTTCTCTTTTTATTTTTTATTGGGGTGGCAGTTGTCTGCCCTTCTCTCTTATTCTTTCTTTTTTTAATCAAGTATTAGAAGATAGAAAAATAGCAGCCTCAGCTTCTTCAATACCAACATCTTCCTCTTCACCATCTGGAGGACAATGATCAATACAGATGATGTTGCAACAGGAGGAGAAGGAAGTGACACTGCAGATGATTATGCAAGGAATCCAAAATATACAAGTAAAAACAGACAACATTGAAAAGAGAACGGAGAATATTGAGCAAAAAAACAGAAAAGACAGATGAGAAAGTTGAGAATATCCAACATGATGAAATATGAGGACAAATTCAAGAAAATTGAAGAACAAGATGTACAAAGAGATAAGAAAATTGGATATATTGATACTCGATTGAGTGAAGTTGAAAGAGACAGGAGCGAATCTTTGGGATGGGAAATCGACAGGTCAGAATTTTATCTGAGATTCCAAAACATAGAAGAAGAAAAGGGTGAAAACCTTGCTGAAATAATGACAGAAATCCTGGCAGAAGAATTAGAGATAACTAAAGAGAAGATGATGGATGGAATGGATGAAGTGTTCCGTGTCTACACAAGATATGCAATGAGAAATAAATTACCAA